CTCAGGATAAGGCAATAGAGACTGTGACTTAATATGAGACTCTTGTAATGCGTGGAAAAGAACTAAAAGAGTGTGGGGAAAGTACAAGAAGCCCTAAACTGCTTAGTTAAAGCATTTCACGTAAAAAGTACAGATCCTGAAGTCATGCTTATGACTTTAAGTTTGTATAAGCAACTTAATAAAGCTTAAGAATATGACTAGTTTACTCAAAAAAAAAAAAAGAGCAAACAAACTGATCACATAGCAGCTTCACCACAATCGCATCATAAACACACTGATGGGTGCTCCCAGACTCTAAGTCCATCAACAAGCTCTAAGTTACAGATGTTCTAAATTGTGTCTCAACAGAGTAAAATTCTGGCCCCAGATTAAATACACTGCCAAAAGACACAATTCAATACCCGGCAGCAAATATTAGAACTAAGTCTCCAACTTCCCTCAATAAAATCTAGGAAATGAGACAAGAAAACAAAGGAGCATCTGTGTATGAACAATAGGTCTCAAGTAAAGAAAGAGTTTACAATCTCCCCGAAGTTAAATCAGACTCCACTCAACATGTGAACAGCATGCACTTGTACCAGAGGGCTGGCTGCTTTTCTCTCTGGTTCTCACGCTGATGGAGAAGCTGAAATTAAAATGTCATTGCCGCATCCAGCGCACCCCCAGCACAGGTCATGCAGGAAAGCACCCAGCATCAGCACACGAGCCAAAAGAGAGTCACTTCTGAGTAGCTGGTAGGCAAAAGCTTAAGCATCTTGGTTAACAATACAACCTCAGAGACAAATTTTACAGGATGTAAAAGTCACTCAAGAATTTCCAAGCTTTGAAGTTAAGAGGGGATCTTTTATAATCCTATGGGGCATGCTCAAGGCCAGTGCCACCAGGCCCCTTTCCCTACTAGGAGGAAAACAGAGGGGATTTCTTATGTTAGGATCTAACTTTACAATAAATTCTTTTCTGTACACAGAGAAAAGGAAAGGGTGAAGCATGTACAAAAATAAAACACTATATATATGGAGAGAGAGAGAACTCAGAGGTAAGCACGGTATCACCAAAGGGGATCTATTTGGTATCTAGAAAAAAAGGAGAAAGAAAAAAAAAAACCAAGCCAGAAAAAAGCCTATTGGTCTTAAGTCAATTCCAACTCATAGGCTCCCCACAGAACAGTGTGGAACAGAGTGGAACTGTCCAGGGTTTCCAAAGCTTTACTTTTACAGAACGGAGTATTGGTGGTGTAGTCCCTACGGTTCCCACAGCTAAAGCACATCTCTCCAGTGGTTCAAATCCACTAGTGGCTTTGAAGAGGAAAGACAACAGACCTCTCATGCAGGCAACAGCCTCAACGAGCCAATGGAAGATCAGCCAGAAGTCAGTGCCTGTTCCACAGCAGTGAGGGAGCAAGTGAATCCAGCTGGTGGACTCGAACCCCAGGACTTTGGGATTGCAGCGCAGCTTCTCACCACTAGGCCATTAGCGCTCCCATATAAGACAAAAAAAATGGTAGTAGTAGAAAGTAATGTTATTTGGCAGTTAAGGCCTTGTACCAGCTGGCGGCTGGGCTTTTCACTGTGCTGTTATCTGAGAATGGAGCACTGGGCAATGACGGCAGCTGGCAGCTGGGCTCCGGGCCATGATGCCCGCTGGCCCTTGGGTTTGGGGCACTGATGTCACCTGCCAGTCAAGCTGTGATGCTATCTGGCAGGACTGTGCCATGATGCCATGTGGGAGGTGGGCTCGCTTTGGGCCGTGATGCCAGCTGGCCACTGGGACTGGGCTGTGACGTCACTGGGCAGTTGGGCTTCAGACAATGGTGTCATCCCCAGTCTGGCTTTGGGTTGTGATGCCATCTGACAGCTAGGCATTGATGCCATCAAGCAACAGCTGAGTCTGGGATCCGAACAATGCTGCCACGTGACCACCGGGCTGCAGGCAACGATGCTGTGTAGCAATCTGGCCTTTGGCTGTGACGTCACCTGGAAGGTGGAGCTCTGGGCCATGCCAGCATCTGACATGGAGCTCAAGGAAGTGATACCAAGAGACAGTTGGGCTTTGGACAGTGATACCATCCGGCAACTGAGCTTGGGGCCATGATGCCATCTGGCAGTTTGGACATGACGCCAGTCGGCAGTCAGGCTTTGCAAGAGATGCTAGTTAACTGGCATTCGGTGCAGTCATCTGGAAGTTAGGTCATGACACAATTACCCTCATTTAGTGATTTGACCTCAACATCACTGTTGCTTGTTGCTACAAAAGCCAGCCTGCTCAAGGTCACGTAGAGGCTCTCTCATAGAACTATTCACCACAGGCCTATCAATCACACAAACACGCACACACTTCCTCCACGGCAGAAGCCCTCACTGACTCTGATAGCATGGCTTCTAGGGAGCTGTGCTGCTAACTCAAAGCTGGGACCTCTCTCTGGTGGTTCGAATCCGGCCCCCAGCTCTGAGGGAGGAAGATGGGCAATCTCCTCCCACAGACTTTACACAGACCTGAAAAGTCAATGGAGGGTCAATTTTGACTTTGATGACAGTAAGTTTTGGGTTTTTTCAGTTAGTAATTTGAGAAGCAGTTAACTGGGAGCCCAGATGGCACAGTGTCTAAGCACTACGTGTAAACAGAATACACGAAGGTCAGAACCCACCCAGCCTGCAACAGCGTGGGGTTTCCCACTGGTGAAATTACAGGCCTGTGGGCCATTTCTACTCTGTCACACAGGGAAACTTTGATTCAGAATCAGCTCTTAGCACATTTAGGACAAGGACAGAGTATAAACACACAAAGGCGAAAGGACAAAGCCCTAGACACATGTAAAGAAAAGGACGTGGAGGACAGGGAAGAAACACAGCAGCCTAAAGGGGACACAGGAATCAACGAGCAACACTCTACGGGAAAGAAACCTTTCTGGAAACGAGTAACTAAGAGAGGCTGAAACCACTCTTCCTGACTAAGAGCACAGATGAGCGGGCGAGCTGCCTGTCCTGGTCAGCCCAGAGAGGAATCCTGGTCAACCCCAGACCATGCAGCCATCAGTTCATTCACCCAGGCAGGATGGTAGAATGTGCTGAACCTGTTAGCTTTCCTTGGATTTACATATTTCATTCTCCCCTGCAGCTGTTTGCACCTCAAGAGCCCAATGTAGTTGCTATTTGTATTATTGTTGTTGTTGTGTGCTGTCAAGTCATTTGTGACTCATACCCTATCTATGTACAACAGCTCTGAACCGTGCTCTATCCTGAGCCAACCTTATTGTCTCTGACACACCTACACCCCCGCTACCCCAGTTACTGAGTCAATTCATCTCACCAAGCAAGGGTCTTCCCCTCCTGCGCTGTCCCTCCAAGCATGATGTCCCTCTCCAAGGACTGGTCCCCCTTGCAACATGCTCAAAATATGCCAGACAAAGGTTCAGAATCGTTGCCTCCAAGAAGCAAGCCTGGTTTGACCCTCTCTAGGATGAACCTGTTTGTTTGTTCTCCTAGCAGTCCTTGGTATATTCAATATTATTCTCCAGACCACAGCCCAAACGCATCAATTCTCCTTCTATCATCTGTAGAAATTACCCAGCTTTCTGATGCAAGGCAAGTATGGCCTGGATCAGGCGCACTTTAGTCTCAAGACGGATATCATTGTTCTTCTGTACTCTGGAGAGGTCACTGACAGCAGATTTCCCAATGCAATCCGTCTCTTGATTTCCTGACCGCTGGTAGCAAGAGGGTTGATTGTGGAGCCAAGCAAACTAAAGCTGTTAAGAATCTCAATCTCTTCCCCATCAATTATGATGCTGCCAATTGGCCCAGTGTTGAGAATTTTTTTTCCTTGATATTGAGCTTCAATTCATATTTAAGGATGCAGTCCTAGTCCTTCTGCAGCAAGTGCTTCAGGTCCTTTTAAGTTTCAGCAAGCAGGGTTGTATCATCTGCAGAACACAGGATGTTGATGAGTCTTCCTCCAATCCTGATGCCACATTCCTCCTCACAGAGCCCAGCCTCTCGGTTGATCTGTTCCACATATAGATTGAAAAGGTATGGAGATAGGACACATCCTCAGCATACACACTTGCCTACTTTAAACCATGCAGTATTTCCTTGCTCTCTTCTGATGACTGCCTCCTGGTATAGGTTTCACATAAGGACAATCAAGTGTTCCGGGATTCCCATTCTCCTCAGAGTTAGCCAGTTTATTTTGATCCACATAGTCAAATGCTTTTGTATAGTCAATGAAACATAGATAGACATTCCTCTGGTACTCTCTACTTTTCAGCTAAGATCCATGTAACATTAGCTATAATATCACTAGTGCCATGGCCTCTTCTAAACCCAGCATGCATATCTGGCAGTTTTCTGTTGATGTGCTGTTCCAATCGTTATTGGATAGTATTCTGCAGAATCTTGCTTACTTGTGATGTTAATGATACTGTTAAATAATTTCCACAATCTGTTGGGTCACTTTTTTTTTTGAATGGGAAAAATATTGATTTCTTCCAGTCAGTTGGCCAGGTAGCTGTCCTCTAGATTTCTTGGCACAACTTGGTGAGCATATCCAGGGCAGCGTTTCTTTGTTTTCAACAAACAGATGCTTTCTGTATTACTGACTTTAGATGATATCAAGTCTGAGATTATTTGTAGCATCTTCTACCTAAGAGGACAGGGAGCACTGGTGGCGGAACTGAGCTGTGCTGCCAACCTAAACGTCTAGTTTGAATCCACCAGCTGCTTCGCAGGAGAAAGATGTGCAATCTTTCGTGGATGTACAGCCTCTGAAGACCCGCTGCAGGGTCAGCCAAGAGTCGGTTATCCCTCGACAGCAGTTAACAACTACACAGCCTCAGAAGAAATGAAAGGACTCAGAACACTTGGGAGTATCTGAACCTCTTGGATGACAGTATATGTCACGTAACATAAGATGGTAGAAACCTAAACTTTGTAACGCTAAAGGAGACATTATCTGACTTAAAATCAACTTATCACTTAAATAAAAAGGGCTTCTTGTCACCAAACCTTGATCCTTCGGATGCTGACAACTGCCTCGGACACCCTCTCGATGGCCGAGGGGAAGAAGAGGGTGACGGTCAGCCGCACGGCCCCGTACAGCGTCACGGCTACAAACACACGGCTGGCTGTGATCACGTTGCCCAAGAGCACGTAGGTGGTGAAAGTCACAAAAACGATGATTTTGCTCGCGACAAAAAACGATGCCAAATTCATTCCTCTGAGGTAGGAACTTCTGAGGACCTTGGCCACTTCCTTCCTGGAAAAGACGGGAGAAGACAGGGCTTTAAGCACTGGCATTGACTGAAGTCACTGATGCTCTTGAACTGGATACTGGCAAAGAGTACCGAATATTCCACCAACTGTCAAAAAAAACCCAACAGATCTGACTTGAAGGAAGTACAACCAGTGTGTTTCTAAAACGCAAGGATGGGAAACATTGTCTCACTCACCTGGGAGCTACTGACCCCATGAAGCTACAATCTTGGAGAGAGACATCACACAGGGAAAGATAAGAGAGTCAATGAAAGAGAGTCAGATCCTCATGAGATGAAGTGACACAGTGATTCCCACCTGGCCTTGACCATGACAGAGATCTGGATGGTGCAGAATGGTGCAAGGTTGAGATCTGTATTTATAGGGGTTGCAGTGAACTTGACGGTCCCTGACAATACTTCCATATATAAATGTGCCCCATGCAATATTAGGGAGTTCTGGGGGCCCTGTGTTAGGCACTTTGCTGCCAATCCCACGGCAGGTAGTTAAAATGGACCAGCTGCCAAGAGGGAGAAAGATGGGCACTCTCCTCCCATACGATTCAAGGCTTTAAAAAATTCACTGAGTTGGTTCTAACTCAATAGCATAGAACAGCAACTTTACACATAATGTAAACAGATTAAAATACCATCTCTTTCATGGGGGAAATCCACAATACACCCGCTGCTTCAATACCAGGACCAGGCAAATCACTCAATACTATTTCATTCATTATACTGTTGTTGTTGTTGTTGTTGTTATGTGCCATTGAGTCGCTTACAACTCATAGCGACCCTATGTACAAGAGCCCTAAACGTTGCTCTATCCGTGCCAACCTTGCCGTCTCAAACACACTCATTCCCACCACTCCACTCACAGAATCGATGCATCTCATCGAAAGTCTTCCTCTCCTGTGTCACCCCCTCCACTCTCCCAAACATGATGTCCCTCTTCAAGGACCAGTCCCTCCTTGCAACATGCCCAAAGTATGTCAGACGAAGCTTCAGAATCCTTGACTCCAAGGAGCAGCCTGACTTAACCCTCTCCAGAACAAACCTGTTTGTTCTCCTAGCAGTCCATGGTATATTCAACACTCTTCTCTAGCACCACAGCTCAAAGGCATCAATTCTCTTTCTATCATCGCTATTCACTGTCCAACTCTCTGGTGCATAGCACGTAATTGTGAAGACTATAGCCTGGATCAGGTGCACCTTAGTCTCCAGCCTGACGTGTGAACATTTATTTATCAAGTATTCACCAACGTTGCATTCACTGACGAGAAAGAGAAGAGCCAGGTACTCTATTATTGTTATTAGGTGACATCAAGCTGTCTACAACTCATAGAGACCCTATAAACAATAGCTCTGAACCTTCCGTGCCCGGCAACATCACCCTGATTTCCATCCTGCTCAAGTCTACTATTGCCATCACTATGTGAATCAGTGAGGGCCGTCTTCTCTTTGACCATCAACCTTCCCCACAGCGATGTCTCTTTCCAAGGCCTCTCCTGAGAACATGCCCAAAGAATGGGAGTTTCACCACCACTGCCTCCACGGAGCCTCCCTCTGTACTTCCCCCAAGAAGGTCTCATTTTCCTTCTTGGTAGTCTGTAGTATATTCAATACTCTCTCCAACACCAAAATTCAAAGGCATCAATTCTTTTTCTGTCTTTCTTATTCACTGTCCAACTTTCATATGCATAGGAAGCAAATGAAAAGCCCATGGCTTGGATCAGACACACACTATCTAGTCTTTAAACTGACAATCACTGTTCTTTGGACCTTTGCAGAGGTTTTGCACCACAAGACATTTTTGATTCCTTGACTGTTGCTACCCTGGGTGTTGGTCGTGGATCCAAATAAAATGAAATCCCTGCCAACGTCAATCTTTTCTCCATCTACCCTGATATTGCCAGGGACTCTGTGAGGTCACTAACTGTGGAAAACGCACTGCCGTGGAATCTATTCCCGATCATAGGCCCCCTCCACTGGGTTCCTGAGGCTGTATGACTTGATGGGAGGAGACTTCCCATCTTTCTCCCATGGAATAACTGATGGTTTGAAACTACCAACGTTACAGATAGCAGTGGATACTATGCCCCCATAACTCATGGAGGAGACAGAAATACAAGGCCCTCGACGTCCGTAGACACATGGCTCCGGAAGGGAAGGCCTGTCATCTGGCGTGGTGGAGTGAAGAGAGGGAGCCAAGAGGAGGAGGAGCAGGAGGTAGCCAGGTCTGGCCAAGGCTGGAGGAAACTGACGAGAACAGGCTGGTGTGCACACAAAGGTGCTCCGTGGAAAGGAAGTGAATTATTAGGTGCCTGCACGTTGACCTTGACTCTGTGCAACTTTATATACAAGTATAGTTGCGCTCCACCTTCACATTCGATGCTATGCAGAGAAAGTACAGCATGCACCAAGCACTGGAGAGTAAAAACACACGAACGATTTAACCTAAAACCTTTTTTAAAAATTCTAAATACATAGAGCGGAACAGTTTTTCCACAGATCTATGTGTGAAGAACAGCACCGACTGAATCTGGCCCAAAACCAGAAAACCCCAACTGGCAGGGACCTAACCGGCAGCGTGTTTTGCTATTAACCAGAAGCTTGAGTCTCTCCGGCGGTTCAAATCCACCAGCACACCAGAGAAGGAAGACAGGCAGTCTCCTGAGGAGGGTTTACAGCCTCTGAGAGCATGCCTCGGGGGTGGAAGCTTCCTATCCGAGCAGCGTTAACATGCGCTCGTGGTGGTGGGGTCCGGGACCCGAGGAACTGCTAATGGGAAACCTGGTGACAGGAACCGATGCAGCGACAGCCCACTAGGACATAAAGAGGCGTCTTGGTGGTGCTGCGGGTAAGGTCAAGGATGAGGACGTCACCTTCCTTAAAGAGTTACGGTCTTGGAATCCCCATGGGGCAGTTCTACTGGATCCTATAAGGTTCCTATGAGTGAGAATCAACTCAGTGGCAATGGATAAATGATTCTAAGGTGAAAGTCTAACAAAGCTCTTACAGTTATTCAATCACAACAGGAAACAGAAAAGCATGGCATGATATATACACAAATTTACCTTCTCAAACTGGTAATAAGGTCTGCAAACGACTTCTCCCAGGCATACATTTTTATTATTTGTATGCCAGTTATAACTTCATTCATGGTCCTGATCCTGACGTCCGTGAAAGTCGCAGTCTTGCTCCTGGCGGGACAGACAGGAGAGATGAGCCGGAAGGATCCAGCTAACTGCCCTTATCAGAACAGGCCCAGGCGGCGACTGCAGATCCCATGATCCCCCCAAGCTCTTTCCCTCAGACAATGCACGCAGATCCCACTGAAAGCACAAAGGGACAAAGACTTCAATCAGGAAGTCAATGATTTCTCCAAATTCAATAAAGATTTGGGGAACCTGCACTATCTGCTGAGGAAGATAAAGAAACGAGTAAGACACAACCTGTCCCCACAAGGAGCTCACAGCTGAGGACGGAGGCACACAGGTACCCAGCGCCAACAACGGCAGAGCGCAGCCCTGATGCCACAAAGCAGGAGGAAACCGTGCTGAGGGGGAGGACCGGAGAGGCAGCCGACACCACGGCGACGGGGGAACAGGAAAAGTGGCCAACAGGCAGCATTTCAACAGAGGCTCGAAGCAACATTATCTCAAACAGTCGAGAAGGAAAAGAGACTCCAAATAAGAACAAACACCATGAGGGAAGGCGCAAAAGACTGAAGTCATGCACTCAAACAAGACATCCCATCCCCCTGGCAACCTTGACAATGGCCCCCTTCCTCCCTCTGCAGATGCCTCACTTCTCCATCATACCTGGGCTGTAGTCAACAGGCACTCTTCAAGCCCAGACTCTGCTAAGGATTGTGGGCCCGCGTAAAGGCATAATTAAGACTGGCCATACCATGCCTTCAGATGGTTTTGGAAAAATAACCCTCCCTCTAACTAACACACACACACACACACACACACACACACACACACACACACACACACCTGTAGCACTAACTTAGCAAACACAGAAAGAGCTGAAGCTTGGTCCACAAAACAGTTAAGCTTAATCAGTAGACAACATTCCTTCACATACATGAATTCTGCTTAACCACCAATTACAGAGGAGTCATCCATGTATCATGGTGACCCTATGTGTGCAGAGCAGACCTATGTTCTATAAGGTTTCTAATGGCTAATTTTTCAGAAAAGGATCAACAGGCATCTGGGTGGTGGACTTGAACCTCTTTAGCCAGCAGCTGAATGGAAATGTTATCATTAACTCTCTGACCACCTAAGGTCTCCAAATTCTAAAGATGTGTTCCTTGTGGCTCCTACAGCATTTGAAAAGCATGCTGGGAATAACAGCGAATGTCCTCCCTTCTGCTCACAGATTAACCCTCAGTTTCAGGCTAGAGACCCCAGGGGCTAAGCCCACAGAGTCTGTAACATATGCAAACAAGAGATAATAGAAGGCAGGAGTTTACTTTGTTTTTCTGAACCAACGCATCAGCAGTAGGTAGCTGTTACTAGATACACAGAAAACACTCTTGCACCAGCATTTCTCTTACCGCAGTGAGGAGAACAACTTCCCAAAGCAGCTCTGCAAAGGCAGGAGGATGATGAGGACCGCCATGCCGGCCAGGCACGAGATCCCGATCTCCATCCAGAGAAGGGCTGTCACCGCGACAGCCTGCAGTGGGCCTGCCCACAGAAAGTGTAAAAATATCGTTACCTTCAAAGAAAAAGACAAAGAGCTTTTAGGGGTGCAGAAAAACGCCAGGAAGAACCCAGGACAGAAACCACCTGGTCTGTAAGAACAAACAAAAGGTGAAATGGAAATTATTGGAGTGACTATAAAATCTCGCCAAGTCAAAAAGACAAATATCCAATGCAGGTGAATGCCTTCAGGTCAACAAGGGCTAAGGGCTAGCTAAGAGCAGTGAGAGAGGGCGCTCAAAAAAGAAATCACACAATGGAATACGATGCAGCCCTCGGGAGCAATGATTTGGAAAAATACCATGTAACTTGGGAGAGGCTGGAGAGCATTATGCTGTGTGAACTAATGCAGTCTTATAAGGACAAATACTGCATAAGACCATTATTATAAAAAGAGAAGGATATCTAGTAAAACATGTATGGGAAGTCAAGGAGGGCAGAGGGCTGAGGACGGCTGGGGCAAAACGACTGCACAGTTTGGTGGGAGGAGGGACGGGGCAAAGAAAGGGGAAGGATCTGGGTGAAAATACAGGGCAATGACGGGTAAGGACGGGTAAGGGCCAACGGTGATTGATTTTATGAAACATGATGCATGAAAATGATTGTATGAAACGTAGTGTGAATGAAGAATAGTATGAAATGCAATGTATACAGAACTTTGTAAGCAAACCAATAAAGAAAAGGGAAAATAAAAAAAGAAGAACTTGTAGGTGTGTTTACTTCAGGTGGGCAGACCCTGCTGTCTGCCTACTTCAACTCAACTCATTGCCATCGCGTCAGAACCAACTCCAAGCTGGTCTTGCAGCAGGTTCCTGAGGCTGTAAATCGCACAACAGGAAATTGCCCATCATTCTCCATGGAGATGTTTGGTGGGTTTGAACCATGACAGAGGCGTGGCCTTTGGGTTAACAGAGCAATTCCCTACCGACTAGACCAGCAGAGCAATCCATGTGACTTCCTCACCAACTCCTTATTCAACTAGGAGCTCTGGTAACATAACGCATTTCCTGTTGCGTTGCCAAGGTAAAGGTCCATTCTCCTCCCGTGAAGATTTACCACCTTGCAAACACTAGGGAGGGCTGCTATGTGTTGGAATCAACATATGGCAATGGTTTAAGTTTATTTTGTTTTGTTATTACTGAACCAAGTTGCAGAAAATACTAGAATGAAAGCCTAATCTATAGGAAAACACCTATCCGTATTGTCATTATAAAGGAAAAGGGGGAGACTTACTTTTGGAAAAAAATAAAACTAGAAAACATTTACCTTATGTCCTCAAAAGAACCCAGAACTACATAAAAATTGGGTGCACTGCATTTCTGCTGTTACTATTGTGTTCCGTCTACTTGGAACTACTATGAACAAAAGATCTAATGCCCACAGGTGACCCTCCAGAGGGTTTTCAGAGGCAGGAAACTGCACGGAAGTTGGTTCCCCATCTTTCATCCCACAGGGCTGCTCTGGTGACATAGGTGGACTTGAACTTCATACCTCTGAGTTGGCAGTGATTCTTACCACTAAGCCAGAGTGTTTTAGCTCTGCATTCTAGTCAATTAAAATAAAAAGCATCATAAAATGAAAAAGGATTCTTCCACCAAAGCTCACCTGATCAAACTTGTTGACATCATTGGACAGCAGATTGACTATCTGGCCCGTGGTGGTCTTCCCCATGGCTGTGTTACTGAGACGAAGGGCCTGAAATAAAAAGAGAAACAAAAGCTCAAGTATTCCTCAGGAAAAAAATAAAACCCAAAGATGGTTCATGAGGTCTTGTGGATCTGTGTTTGGTGCACTGTAAAGGGTGGAAGTTCAAATCTACCCGCAAGCACCTTTTAAGAAAGGCCTAGCAACCTCTTTCTGAAACAGAAGCCACTGAAAAGTCTATGAAGTGTACGCGTACTCTGGTACACAAAGAGTTAGAACTGACTCCTCAACAATTTGCTTGGCTTGGCTGATTTCATTGTGTGTCATTTCAAGGTGACTTCCACCAGCAGGGCTCTAAGGACAGGCATTTAGTTTGAGCTCCTTCCTGCAGCAGGTAAGCACAGCAAAGGAAGGAGCAGATGGCAGGGACGATTCCCAGCTGCTCTCCTGTTTCATCTGGGCACACTCAAAACAGAAAAATTGTGAGTTTCTATCCAAGAGCCAACCAAAGTCATTTTAAACCAAATTCCAGAGAGACCAGAGAGTGCTGGAGGAAAACCAAGGATCAGGGTTTATAAATCCAGAAGCCAGTCACCAACTCTCTCTATCATTCATACCATTTATATGCTCTGTGGTCTTGGTTTCCTCGTTCTGACGATGGAAAGACCTCACTGTCTATGTGACAGTTCTCCTGTGAGTCAAATGGCAAGTACTTACTGGACGACACTGGGTGCTCAAGGAGCTTTGTATGATAACTTGTGTTGTCCTGTCGTTAGAGACAAGGGTTGTTATTGTTGTTGTTGTTGTTATGTGCCGTCGAGTCGCTTGCGATCATAGCGACCCTATGTACAACAGCCCTAAACTCTGCTCTGTCTTGTGCCAATCATACTTTCTTTGACACTCCCATCCCGATTACCCCAGTCAATGAATCAATCCACCTCATAGAGGGCCTTCCCCTCCTGTGCCTGCCCTCCCCACTCCCCAGCATGATGTCCTTCTCCATGGACCGGTCTCTCCTCACAACATGTCCAAAGTATGTTAAACGGAGCCTCAGAATCCTTGCCTCCAAGGAGCCACCCGGTTTAACCTTCTCCAGGATGAATCTGTTGGTTTTCCTAGCAGTCCATGGTATTCTCAATACTCTTCTCCAGCACCACAGCTCAAAGGACAAGTGTAAGTACACAAATATCGGTAGTCCACCATGAACTGGACGGTAATGAGGGGAGCATGAGGCAGTGGGACCGATTTCAATTCAGTGACACTGAGGGTGGGATGAGGCACTCTGGTGGCATTGCTCCTTAAGGGCTGTGCTGGTAACCAAAAGGTCAGGGGTTTCAATCCATCAGCTGCTCTTTGGGAGAGAGATGGACAATCTCCTCGCAGAAAGACAGCCTCAGAAACCAAATGAGAGTCACTATGAGTTAGAATCGACTCAGCAGCCTTGGTGTGGCTTGGAGCGAAAGACATGGAATTTGGGCAATGAAGAGTACTTACATGGAGATAAGTCAAGGGCACGACAAGTCAAAGGGACAGTGTGTGTATAAGTACCACAGCCTAGGATGATGGAAAAGGCAATAGGATTGTATATGAAATCACCAATATTAAAATGCTAGAAAGACTAATATAAACATGGCAATTTTAAATCCTAAACCATCACAAATTTTTAAAAGATTAAGCCACAAAGCTATCAAGAGTAATTAAAATGAAAAATTGAAAATATCTAATTAAGCCAAAAGAGGATGAGAATGGAAAAAAGAACAAATAAAACAAATAGAAAATGCACAGCAAGACAAAAGGCTTAAAAGGAAGACCACATCAATATTTACACTAGATATGAATAGACAAGCCTGCGGCAGCCGGGTATATCAGCAAGCTCCAACGACAGGCCATGCACAGGAGATGTCCTGGCAGACGGAAAGCGGGCAAAAGGATGCAAGAACATATGCCGTGACATGAGGAAGCACCAGAAAGTCACTAGTCCCACGTTAACCTCAGCCAATGTAGGCGTCCAGGCAAGGAAGAGTGCAAGAGATGAATGCAAACATTTCAAAATGACAAAACCAAGGTCAAGTCTGGAGAGCAGGTTAAGAGAAAGGTCCATGGCAAAACCCCACCAGCTACTCTTTTTTAGGACAAAGGGGATGCACATTGCTTCTGGAAAGATGAACAGCTCTGGAAACCTTCGTGGCAGCTCTACTGTAGGCTATTATGAGTTGGAATCCGTTGAAGGGCAGTGGGTTAAATATATATGAACATAATTACAAAGCTTTACAATATACAAACAAAATCAGATAGAACAAAAAGGAAAAACAGACAACTTAAGTCCTAACTGGAGATTTCAGCATCATTATCTCAGTAATTCATACAGAAATATCACAAACGATACAGAGATCAACACTCTTAAACAACCCAGTCCCTGGTGGTGCAGACATTTAAAGACCTCAGCAGCTGACTGAAAAACTAGAAGTCTGAGTCCACCTGGCTGTCCAAGGAGTCCTGGTGGTACAGTGGGTACAGTATCTGCCTCAAACCCCAAAGGTCAAGGGTTCAAATCTATCAGCTATCCCACAGGAGAAAGACATTCAGAGTTCTCCCATGGAGATTCATTTACAGCCTCAGAAACGCAGCGGACATGAGAATGGCGCGCTTGTTTGGGTTCTGGTTGTCTCAGAAGAAGGCACTGGTGATCTACTTCAGTCAAATTAAACAGGAAAAACCTCACGGCAGCAGAAACTCTCACCCTGGCATGTGGGGTGGCCAGGAGTCAGAACCGATGACAGCTGGTGGTTATCAACACCCTCAAGCTAAGCAGCATTTATAAAACACCACACCCAACATCTGCAGAATAGTCTCTTTCAAGTACACGTGGGACGGTCACAAGATAAACGTCATGCTAGCTCATTGAAAAAAATCAATACATTTCTAAAGATAGTAACATTTTAAAGAATATACTGGTATCAAAATTAAACGAGAAATCAATAGCATTGTTTTAGAAGTGAACATTTGAAAATGAAGCCATAAAACTCCTGAATAAGGGGAGCTCTGGTGGCCTAGTCGCAAGGAGCTGCAACTACAATCCCAGTGGCTCACTGTTCGAATCCACCAGATGCTCTGCTGGGAAAAGGAGGGACAATCTCCTCCTGTACCAGTCAGATCTGATTTGACGGTACACTCACACACACACACACAC